CAAAATTCAAACGAAAGACTTTTCATACTTGAGGAATAAGATGTATTAATATCTTTATCGTGCTAAAAAGAAAAAAAAAATCTCTTTAGAAACAAGGAGCTTTCAGGAAAAAAAAGTCTATTTTAAATTTTATTTATGTTGCTATCATAGAAGAAATATATGGAGAATTTTTAAGAATGCAAAGACTGTTGTACTTTTGACAATAATGTTATTATTAAATTAAATTCCTTGCTGTAACTGATCTTAATTTGTATTTAATCCATGAAGCAAGATCAGAAAAGATGCTTTAAAAATGTATTGTCTTGTGCAGTACTTTCAAGAATTGTTTCATTCAACCAAACCATGTGAAACATCTCGATTAGAGATTATTTTATAAATTAATACATGTCTTTAGGTTAGAGTACAAGATGATATAATTTAACATAATATCAAAGTAAATACAGATTTTCACGACTCTACCTCTTATATTCTACCTAGTCCTCATTCTCGTGGCCACATTAATTTCCATCCACGGAACGATTTCATTTGAGCGAGTTCGTATCACGTCGTCATCAATTTATTAAAATTTATGTGTCAAGTTTTCAATGAGAACGACATCAAAAGTACATACAAAGGAGCAAGTTCAAATTAGTAAAAGGATGGTTGTAGTCATGGTGCTAAACTTTTCAAATCTTTGCAGCTTTTACTCTAACCTTTCATTTATTACACCCGTAATCCCAAACTTTTCAAGTGCGTACGACTGGAGTACAAATAGATGGAATCCATCTATATTTTTGTTTGTTGACCTAAAAAAATAATTTTGACCATGTAAATTCATATATTCTCACATGATAATGTAATGGTAGCTACGTCCAATGGGTGGGTGATGGTGACGATGATGGTGGATTTTCTGGTTTGGTTTTAGGGGGTGCAATGGGGATGGGGTGTTGGGAGAAGAAGCTTTCAAAATTTTTATTTATTTATTTTTTTGTTTAATTATTTTAATCATTTTATATCGAAATATATAAAGTTGCCAATTTATCTTTATTGAAATAATTAATAATGTGGTCAAAATCATTTTTTTTTTTTTTTTGGATCAGCTAATGGACATATGAATGGATTCTAACTATTTGTCCTCCAGCCACACACACTTGAAATGTTTGGAAGCATGGGTGCAATAAATGAAAGATTAAAGTAAAATATGTAAAGACTTGTAAGATTTTCAATTCGAAGTTGCAATTATCCATAATAAAATGTGTGAACTTCAACAGTTATATTCTAACATAAACAACCTGTTCTTCAAAGGCTAAGGCACACACCTCCATTGATCTGGTGCACAAATTGTCTGTAAACAAGTGCAGTTTGTAGTTGACAGAGAATGGGGATTGAGCGTGTATTTCCATATGTGGGAATGGTGATTGTGCAGTTTGCTCAGGTGGGCTTAATGATAGCAGGCAAAGTAGCCATGTCAAATGGAATGACTACTTTCACTTTTGCTTTCTATTCAAATGCACTGGCTTCACTTATACTACTTCCTATCTCATTGTGGCTACACAGGTAATACACTGCAAATTATCTCTTGTTTAAATGATTCAAGAACTGAATTTGAGTCCTGGCTTGTTTTCACTTTCTTGTGCAGATCTGCTCGTCCACCGCTTTTCTACACATTCATTTGTGGCTTTTTCTTGCTCGGCCTAATCGGGTAGAAAATTTTCATTTATATAGACTAATATCAAGTGTTGAGATTTTCACTCTAAATTTCTACTGGTAAAATCTACAGGTTCTTGGTGCAGATATTTGGGTATACTGGACTTATGTATGCCACTGCATCACTTTCTAGTGCAATGATGAACCTCATTCCAGGTTTCACCTTCATACTTGCCATCATTTTCAGGTAGAAATTACTTGTTAACTTCATTCCATTCCGTCTTACAAATTAATACAACATTAAAGAATGATCTGTCAAGATCGCTTTATTGATCAGTGTTCTTTTAGCAAAAGAAGAAATTTTAAGAGTTGATTTTAAGGATTCTCGAGTTAGGTTTTGGAAAATAGCTAACAAGATTTACATCCAATTTTTTCTTTTACTTTCAAATTTATGTAAGTTTTGTGGCTGCCTGCTGTCCTATTCCAACGAGTTTCCATACTCGTAAGCTTGTTCTTTAACTAGTTTTCTTAATGGAGCTTCTAGGTTGGAAAAATTTGACTGCAAAAGTTCAGGCACCCTGGCTAAATCTATTGGGACGATAGTGTCCATAATAGGTGCTTTTATTATAACTCTCTACAAAGGTCCCACCATTTTGGGGATTTCCTCGCATTCGATTGCCCCTATTCACACTCTTACACAGTCATCAGCCTGGCTCATTGGGGGATTGCTTCTTGCAATTGATTCTGTGGTGGCTTCAGTATTTATCATTGCACAGGTAAATTAACACTCAAAGTGGATTCGATATACAAATGTAACATGAAAATAGAATTGAATTTTGTTGTTCTTTGTAGGCATTAGTTCTCAGGAAATATCCCGCAGTGCTCCTTCTAATGTTGTTCTATAGCTGCTTCATTGCTATTTTATCTGCAGCAGTCTCTTTGACTGTAGAAAGAGATACTAAAGCTTGGAGCCTGAAACCTATGACGAGGTTGATCCCCGTTATATACTCGGTAAGTAAAAAATTGTTTCAGCCCATATTTCCATGCTTACTGAAAAGTCTAGTCCTCTTGTTATATGGTTGGAACATGTTTTGCGTAAACCTAAAGAAGATACCATTCATAATATTGACGCAATAGTTCTAGCAATGTACGACCCCAAATTGAAAACAAAGCTTGATATTTTGCAATTTTGTTGTTTTGGTGTAAAATACAACATATATAGGGCATGTTTGGCAATGTTTTCCAAGTCTCCATGATCATGTGGTGCATGAGAAGAAGGGGGCCTCTCTTTGCTTCTATGTTTCATCCTTTGGGTGTTGTCATTGCAATTGTCATGGGTATCATCTTCCTGGGTGAAGCATTTTATCTTGGAAGGTATTGCTATGATTCAAGTGGACTAAGTTGTAAAAAATAAGTAAAACTTAATTGTCCGAAGAATAGTTTTCACCGTCATGCTAATTATTTTTGCAGTTTGTTGGGATCCATTGTTGTCTCAATCGGCTTTTATTCTGTGATGTGGGGGAAAGCTAAAGAAGGGAAGATGGTTCATGATGACAGAGAGAAAAGCTCGGAATCAAATGACAAAAAGACGCCTCTTCTACAAAAAAAAGTCGAGGATGGAGTAGTTATCGTGTAGCCTAACTTGCAAGGCTTTCTTCTTGATATTGAAGACATATTTCAGGTTGTTTTAAAAGGGAACTTGTTGAGAAGTCTCTGTGTGTTAAACTCAAAATGGCTGTGGTACCTGCACTGGCAGTACAGCAGCAAACTTTCTTGATTTTCTGTTGTATTGACAAATTATAAGAATACGATGTGTAAAGTAAAATCTACTTGAACTCTGCAGATTCTACCCACTGATGATAACAAATGCAAAATTAGTCAGAGAATTTGAAGAAGCTTATTTGAATTCTCTACTAACTGATGACAACAGATTTCTTTCTGGTGCAGTGCTTGTTTCGGATGGCTTAAAGAGCCGTTAAAATTTTGAGGTCAAAAGTCAACACTTAGCCCCTGCCCATTACGTGGAAAAATTAATGGGGGGAATAGTATTTTTTTGAAAAATAAGTGGTTGAAAAAGAATAAAAAGTTTTCGATTTACATGTAATATTATTTTATGGAAGATTGTGTTGTTGAAAATANGAAAAATAAGTGGTTGAAAAAGAATAAAAAGTTTTCGATTTACATGTAATATTATTTTATGGAAGATTGTGTTGTTGAAAATAAGAGAAAGAAAAATGAAATGTAATAAAATTTAATGTAATGGGGCTCAAACAGGGGCTTAATTTAATCACATATTTTATAGAACTCACAATTTTTATCAACTTTTCAACCGCATCTCATTAACTTTTATTAAATGTTTTGTCAAACAACCCTAGGATCCCATATTTTTTTTTTAACGAGGTGTCCAAACTTGCGCCAGACTATATCCTTGTCCCTGAACCTCCGGCCCTTCAGCTGCTCAGGGAGGTAAATCGCAGGATGTGCCCTTATTGATTCTCAGGTTCCCACAGGCTTTTACTCCTTCCCCAAAGGGAGTCTCCTCCATGGTGATTAATCCACCAATAATTCATCATTTATTGGATCAAAGGTTCTCACCAGGAATCGAACCCCCCACGCTTGGTTTCAGAGCTCCCCAATGTGATTGTTCCGCCAACTTGGATGTGCCCTGAGGGGCAACCCTAGGATCCACTTCATTTGACCGAAAGGCCTTTACAATGGAATACCATGTTGATTGCTTATGGGAAAAGCTTGGTTCTCAAAATCAAGAGCTTGATAGTTCGTGCTCGCACCTGCCTTGTCAGATTATTTAGATATACAACTCTAATTCTATAATTTTAAAAAATATATATATATAAGGATATCCCTATTCAATCCTAGATTTTCACAATGATGCATTAATAACTATTGGTCTTAACTAATGACATGGTAATAGTGTAGGAAGCGTAAGTACGGGATAATGAAGAGCAACGAATTCAGCGATTGAGTCTAGTAACTTCAGAGTTGAGCTAGGTCAAAAGGTATCATCACTTGGGAATACTCTCTTAGGTAAGAAAAATTCTTTTCAATCTTGGACTCGGTAAATCTTTATCTCGAACAATTTTCAAAGAATTATGCTACATTGATATAATGTTATGATCACTTCCTTGACAAAACGTCACATGGAATTCTGTCATTGAACTGCTCCAAAGATTTTGCATTCATTTACCTAGTGTTAACACTGTATCAATCAAATAGCCATAGATGGGCAAAATCATTCGACAAAATGGCTTAACTGATTTGACATAATATAGAGTATATTTGGTGTTGATTATGATAATCAATTTTTTGACCGTTATAGAAAAAAGTGGGTCCTACCTTTGAATGAAGAGATAAAAAAAAATGACGGCTGATTATGTTAAATAATAGTCAAAAAATTAATTCTTTTGCTTGAAAAATCAGAACCAAATGGGGGGCATATTAATGTATTACCATGTTAGGTGCAATTAATAAGCGTTGCCATACATGCAAATGTAACAAATCCGTCTCTTCACTTTCTTTATAGACAATTGATGGTCTAACATTCATTCTTCAGTTTCAACATTTATAAAATTTCAATTCAATATTCATTAGTCAATTGATTGAAAGGTAATTAAAGTCATAACTTGATTGGTCCTGACCATAAAAAGGGATTTGGTCCCTAAGCTCAAACACACCCAGACATAAAAGATACACTATCAAATGAGAATGTTGAGAACTTGGAAGTATCATTACCTAAAAGACAAAGAGCGTTTGGAACAATATCAATGGCTGGAGATATGAATTCGATTCGTGGAATTTTCAATTTTTTGATCCAATTTGCTTCCGTATAATTGTTTAGGATCGATTCTCAATCTAACATTTGGTATCAAAGCATAATCTAACCTCTGCCTTGATGTTTATGGAGTAATCTGCAAAACTCTGTCTCCTCTGATCGAATTTTGTTGTTGAAATTGTTTCGCGCGTGTTAATTCGCTAACAATTAAAGAGGATCAGACAATTGTGTAAGGGACGAAACCTCTTGAGACAAAGTCCCAAAAAGGGGTGTTTTTTTTATTTGAGATGAACTTTACAATTGGAAACGGAAAACAACGTGCCTCCAAGGGGCGCAAGCACACGAGTTACAGAAAAGGAAGTATTTAAGTCTAAAAACTAAAGGAATGAAAATTACATATTCTCTGTTCGAGAGTTTTGGATTCGGTCCTTTGCTTCTAAGTTCTTTCTCCCTTTTATACTTCATAGGCAATCCCTTTGTGATTAACTGCTCTAAGAAAACTGCTTGATCGCCCTATAACTACCCACTTTTTTTGTAGTGGCCATTTTGTCATGAAACTGTCCTTTTAACTGCTGCCATTATCTTGCATCGTTCAACCGCTTTCGATTGAATCCCTTGAGTCGTGGAACGTGATAAGGTTATTTTAGCAACTGCCTCAATAACTTCTTGATAATCATAATGCATTATGTTTGTTGATACCTTGGGCGACTTGAAGATTTGGGCAAGACTCTGGGCGACCGTATGTCACTCTATTCGTTCAGATTCTGAGCGACTTGCAAATTTGGGCGATGGCGTTACCGCACTATTGGGCCCCTTATTTGGGCATCCACCTTGATTCGTTTAATTGGATTTCGTTCTTTGGGCTATCTGATTTGGGGATCTTCCAATTGGGCTTTACTCTCTGAGCTGTTCGATCTAGGCTGAATTTTTATGTGTCAACAATTACCCCCCAATATGGCAGAATTAATAATAATTATTGAATTTTGCCATATTCACTTCACGTCTCCAGCAACGTTCGCGATTCCCAAAGAATTTCAATCATTGTTTCCTTCTATAACTTGAAAAGGTGCGTCGCTTTGCAAACCCTTATAAACTCCAAACACGCCATTTTACTGCTACCAAATCACGTTTCATATTTCTTGCGCATCCTTCACGATTCACTGTTCATCTTTTG